AGCCAAGTATTTCTTTTAATGCTTTAACTGTCTATATGTAGCAGCCAAATTTAAAACTGGGAAACAATAATAAAGGGAAATGAAATTAAATTTGAATAATAGAGGGAAGTGAAATTAAAGTTTAGGTAGTTTAGATGTTACTAATTCATTCAGCTATAGTTCTAGCTACTTGGGAAGCTGAGGCAAGGGAATTGCTTAAGCCCAAGAGTTTGAGGTTGCTGTGAGCTGTGATGCCACGGTACTCTACCAAGGGTGACATAGTGAGACTCAAAAAAAAAAAAATTGTATATAGCTTAGACAGGGGATAGCATGATTCAGTGATGATTCTTTGCCAAATCTGTTGCATTTATTATTAGTTAAGATATCTAATTCATGATATTATTGGTTTATGAAAATAGAATAATACTGGTTTTTGTTTTTAATGATGGGATCAAGGCAGCATCATATAACAAATTATTCATGCTTTAAATACTATTGATATTCTTTATTATTAGGAAGATAGAATTCTTTTTTCCTGAGACAGAGTCTCACTTTGTTGCCCTCAGTAGAGTGCTGTGGCATCACAGCTCATCGCAACCTCCAACTTTTGGGGTTAAGAGATTCTCTTGCCTCAGCCTCCTGAGTAGCTGGGACTATAGGCGCCTGCCACAATGCTTGACTATTTTTGGTTGCAATTCTTATTGCTGTTTTAGCTGGCTGGGGCCAGTCTCGAACCCACCACCCTTGGTATATGGGACCTGGGTGCTGCCCAGGAAGATAGAATTCTAAAGAAAGAGTCTTTGGTCAGTAAATTGAAAGTCCCCAAAGTGTACAAATATAGATAAAATCAGACAGGGCAATCCTAGTACTCTCAGAGGTCAAGGCAGGTGGGTTGCTTGAGCTCAGGAGTTGGAGACCAGCCTAAGCAAGAATGACACCCTGTCTCTACTAAAGGAGAGACAAGCTAGCTGGGCATGGTGGTACATTTCCAGCTACTGAGGAGATTAAGGCAAGAGGATCACTTGAGCCCAGGAATTTGAGGTTGTTGTGAGCTAGGCTGACCCCATAGCACTCTAGCCTGGGCAAGAAAGCAAGACGCTGTCACCAAAATACACACACACACATATATAGGGTGGTGCCTGTGGCTCAGTGAATAGGGCGCCGGCCCCATATACCAAGGCTGGTGGGTTCAAACCCTGCCCAGGCCAAACTGCAACAAAAAATAGCCAGGCGTTGTGGTGGGCGCCTGTAATCCCAGCTACTTGGGAGGTTGAGGCAAGAGAATCGCCTAAGCCCAAGAGCTGGAGGTTGCTGTGAGCTGTGATGCCATAGTACTCTATAGAGGGCGACAAAGTAAGATTCCGTCTCTAAGAAAAAAAAAGAAAAATTATATATATGTACACACATGCATATATAAAAATATATTCTGGTTGGTACAGAAAAAAAATAGAATCCATGATTTATTAGATATTTTCAATACAACAGTATAAAATAAGAGGACCTATGTGCAGTGCCATGTGCTTATAGTCCCAGCTACTCAGGAGACTGAAGCTAGAAGATCACTAAAGCCTAATAGTTCAAGACTAGCTTGAGCAATATAGCAAAACCCTATCTATAAAATAAAATAATAATGGGGAACTCCCTTATGTAGGTTGGCACTAAAAAGTAATTCTTAACTCCTGTCCCCCGTGCAAGTTAGACAACACATGAATAAGTAGAAAAAGGATATAGAATTTTAAGAAACTTGATATATGGAGGATTGATTATTGAATGATTTGGCTGTAGACAAATTGATCTGGACCTTCAAACATGTATGGAATTAAAATGTATCAGATGGAAAAAAGGAGGGAATACTGTACTGAACATTTTTTAGTAACTCAGTATAGGAATTGAAATTTTCAGCATATCTTTCTTTTCATTATTACAGATTCTGTAGTCTATTCAGCCTTAAACCAGTTTTGCTATACCAAATAATTTTTAAAGAGTAACTAGATAAAACAGAATGTCCTAATATAAATGTAACTTTAGAAAACCCTATTGTATTACATGACATACACTTAGAAGTTGTTGGAACCTCTTGTGTTAGAAAAGATTCAACCTTTTCTTTAGTAATTTATTTATTTAAAAAGTTATTGAGTGTTTACTATGTTCTATGAACAAGACTACTATAGTAGTAGAAGGGTAGTAACTGGAAGTCTGTGTTCAAGTCACTTAACATTAATCCTATAACCTTGGACAAGTCACTTAACACTTATGAAAGTATTCCTTCATGATCGTATGGGAATCAGATAACAGTCATGAAGTTTTTTTTAAAAACTAAATAGTAGGCTCAGTGCCTGTGGCTCAAGTGGCCAAGGCTGACCTGAGCTGGTGGAGTTGAATCCAGCCTGGGCCTGCCAAACAATGACGGCTGCAACCAAAAAATAGCCAGGCATTGTGGTGGGCGCCTATAGTTCCAGCTACTTGGGAGGCTGAGGCAGGAGTATCGGTTGAGCCTAGGAGTTGGAGGTTGCTGTGAGCCGTGATGCCACAGCACTCTACCCAGGGCTACAGCTTAAGGCTCTTTCGCAAAAAACAAAACTAAATAGTATCATGCACATATTAAGGATTAAGATAATGGCTTAGCGCCTGTGGCTCAAGCAGCTAAGGCGCCAGCCACATACACCTAAGGTGACGGGTTCGAATCCCCAGCCCGGGCCCGCCAAACAACAGTGATGTCTGCAACCAAAAAATGGCCAGGCGTTGTGGTGGGCGCCTGTGGTCCCAGCTACTTGGGAGGCTGAGGCAGGAGACTCGCTTGAGCCCAGGAGTTGGAGGTTGCTGTGAGTGTGATGCCATGGCACTCTACCCAGGGGGACAGCTTGAGGCTCCATCTCAAAAAAAAAAAAAAAAGATAATAACAGATATTGATTCTTAAGAAAGCATCTGTTGATTACATGCTATGTAAACAGGTATATAAATAGAGTAAAACTGCTATACAAGTAACAAAGTATTATAATAGTTACCCGCTGAGACAATAAAATTTCCAAAAGGAAATAGTACCTTTTTGTAGGAATGGAAATATTAATAAAATATTTCTAAGGGAACAGTACTAAGACAAGTTTCACTTTTCATTTTTATCTTTCAAAAGAGAGAAAATGAAAGGACAGTCTAAGCGCTGGGCGCAGTGGCTCATGCTTATAATCCCAGCATTCTGGAAGGCCAAGGCGGGTGGATTGCCTGAGCTCAGGAGTTCAAGACCAGCCTGAGCAAAGCAAAACCCCAACTCTACAAATAGAAAAACTAGTCAGGCATTGTGGCAGGTTCCTATAGTCCCAGCTACAGGGAGGCTGAGACAAGAGGATCATTTGAGCCCCAAAGTTTGAGGTTGCTATGATACGGCACTCAACTCCAGGGCAACTGAGACTCTGTCTCAAAAAAAAAAAAAAAAAAATGAAAGGACATAATAGTACATTATATACCAGATTCTAGTGTTTTAAGAGTAACATGGTGTTATTAGCAGTTTTCTCACAGTTAGATATTTTTTCTGGCAAAAACATTGGCACATATGTTTTAGATATTGATTGTCACTTGCCACTTTCAATAAGGAATATTTTCAGTGGACTTCAAACTTTGACTAGTATTATACTAGTCTGATTAATATATATGGATTTGAAAGAAAAATTTCCAAATTCACCATATATTGTATGTTTTCCACAATCCTGTTTTCCCTTTTAAAAAGCAAATAGAGGTTAAATCAATAAACACAAAAGCTGAAAAGAAAAAAATTTTCTCAGCTTTGTTGAAGGAGTCTGAACCATGCTACTGTGATCATTCAGCAATATTTTAGCCCAGTTATACAATGTGCACATTTGGGTACATCTCACTTTATTGTAAGTTCCAGAATAACTCATGCAAAAATAATGCATATAAAATACCACATTTCGGCTCGGTGCCTATGGCTCAAGTGGCTAAGGCACTAGCCATATACACCTAAGGTGGCAGGTTCGAATCCAGCCCAGGCCCACCAAAGACAGCTGCAACCAAAAACTAGCCGGGCGTTGTGGTGGGCACCTGTGGTCCTAGCTACTTGGGAGGCTGAGGCAGGAGACTCGCTTGAGCCCAGGAGTTGGAGGTTGCTATGAGCTCTGATGTCACGGCACTCTACCCAGGGGGACAGCTTAAGGCTCTGTCTCAAAAGAAAAAAAAAATACCACATTTAAGGTTTGTTTGATACTTTTTGTTCATTTATCTTTGCTCTCATTCTCTGTTGAGAAACAGAGATGCATGCGAATCTGCTGAACTAGAAAAAGGATTTCTTTACCTTTCTTACTTCCTCTTTGGCTGCACCAATGTCCTAGAAGGACTGTTCTGTCAGTGGATGTGGAATGTGTTTCCCAGGAGTATAGAGAATCTGGCAAATAGGAAAATGAGAAAATAGTAAACTCTCAGGGACTGAAATATTCATCAATGTAGAATTTAATGTTCTCTGCACATACAGGTTATGTTTTAAAGTGAAAACAAACTGTGACTGAAAGAAAAATACTTTATTTCTGATTCTTCAGACTTATTTCTGAGCTAGCCTAAGGAAATGATATTAAATTAGATTCTTAGTTATTTAACAAAAGAGAAGTTACTTAGTATGTCTTTATGTTCACTTCCCTATATTAGATGTTCTTATTTATTCCGAAGCTTTAACTTTCAAAATTATTAAGTTTAACTTTTCATGTATGCTTTTTTCTTCTAGAAGCCACCAGTATCCAACAGGTCGATTTCTCTGAAGGAGGTATTCTCTTTGTAAATATGATGCAATATATTCTAAATCTTTTCCTTTACATTAGAAGCTATTTTGATAAGTACATAAGTAGTAAGAGTAGAAAGTAGTGGATTTTTTCTTCAAAAAGAAAAATTCATGTCTATCAGAACTGTTAAGTGAGCAAGTAACATAGGATAGAATCAGTGATGAATGAGGCTTTTTGTATATTTAAAGAATCTTTTGCCGATTTGCATTCATTCTAAGCAAAGCTAGTTTGTTCTATTTCTGGCATGTACTGGCCTTTGATAATAGTATTAACATAATCACTTTTCCAAATACACCTAACCAGTCTATGTTTGAGAAGTACAGGAGTAAAATTTAGTTCATCTTTAAGCCTAGCATAATCTGAGATTAGTTGCCTGCATAATAAAATGTTTGTGTGCGGATATATATTACACTGCCTCTCCACTACAGATATATACCTACAAATTTTTTAAGTAAGATATACTTTAATCTTGTCTGAATTCAACTACACACTACGTATAGTTTTCATCTCTATAAACTAGAATTTTTCCATTCTTTAATGATTGTCTCTTAATTTTTGACTCTATGTTAAAGCCTCGTAGAACCTCTATATGACCACCCAAGGGACTATAATAAAATGGTCAATATACAGAAGTAGTCAACATAAGGAACTAGGCCTACTGTACTGATTCATACATGTAGTGCATGTCTGGTCCATAAAAATTAGGTCAACCTATGGAGATGGTCAATGTAGGGAAGTGGTCAGCTATGGAGGTTCTACTGTATTTTAATTTAAAATCCTTTATTTAATGTTGAATTATTTGATTTTGGTTTTTGTTTTTGTTTTTTTGAGATGGAGCCTCAAGCTATCCCCCTGGGTAGAGTGCCATGGCATCACAGCTCATAGCAACCTCCAACTCCTGGGCTCAAGCGAGTCTCCTGCCTCA